ATTAATTCAAACTAATTTTTTAACCATTACCCTTGTCAAAAATAATAATAATTAAATTTAAATATTCTAAAAAAACTAAATTTATTAAAATTAAACAAATAAAGTACAATTTTGATTAAATTAATTTCATAAGTACTTCTCCAAATCTCATCATGGATAAAACTTCATCTTAAAAAATGATAGATTTAATTTATTAAAATTATTTATATTCAAATAACATTGAATAGATTTAAATACATATTATTATTTTGGTTTAAATGGCTTCTTAACCATATAAATAAACTCAAATGGAATACACCAAACAACTTTGACATCCGATATGCAGGCTACTCTTGGGTTTCCCTTAACAACTTTGATATTTGATAAAAAAGAGTTGAGAAAACCCTATGTTAAGCCCTAGACTTATCCTAGATTTTCAATTAAGTCTTTAAATTTTTACTAAAATAAATAAGTCCCTAAACTTGACAATTTGGCCAATTTAATTCTTTTTTTTTTTATGCTAGATTTAACTCATTTGTGTGTTTTACTTGCATGAATAAAATCAATACTTATCTTGTAAGAAATAATATATCAATATCTTATCCACATAAATAATGCACAAACATATATTAAGTTTGTAGCAAAAAAAAAAAAGGTTAAATTGATCAAATCACTAAATTCAATGGTTTACTTACTTCAATAACAATTTAAAAACTTAATTGAGAATTTAAAGTAAGTTTGAAAGCTTAATATAAAATTTTACCAAAAAAATTTGTGTACAAAATAGTGCAAAACAAAGCCAAATTTTGAAAAAAAAAATTAAAAAAATATGTCAATTGTAAGGGTCAAGCTCATAATGTCAAAATGACTCAACCTAATAAATCAAATACTCAAATACTCGAACCGAGCCTTTAAGCTTAATGATTCGACCACAAACCTTAAGTGCATAGGTGAAGATGGTCAGAGTTTCGAGCTCTACCACCGTTGTAAACTCCACCAATAGCGGCCTGATAACCGCGCGCCTCATTTGAGGGGGTGGAATGTTCACTCAGTTT